TCAGTGTGTGTGTGTGTGTCAGTGTGTGTCAGTGTGTGTCAGTGTGTGTCAGTGTGTCAGTGTGTGTCAGTGTGTCAGTGTGTCAGTGTGTGTCAGTGTGTCAGTGTGTCAGTGTGTGTCAGTGTGTGTCAGTGTGTGTCAGTGTGTCAGTGTGTGTCAGTGTGTGTCAGTGTGTCAGTGTGTGTCAGTGTGTGTCAGTGTGTGTCAGTGTGTGTCAGTGTGTGTCAGTGTGTCAGTGTGTGTCAGTGTGTGTCAGTGTGTGTCAGTGTGTGTCAGTGTGTGTGTGTCAGTGTGTGTCAGTGTGTGTCAGTGTGTGTCAGTGTGTGTCAGTGTGTGTGTGTCAGTGTGTGTCAGTGTGTGTGTGTCAGTGTGTGTCAGTGTGTGTGTGTCAGTGTGTGTCAGTGTGTGTGTGTCAGTGTGTGTGTGTCAGTGTGTGTCAGTGTGTGTGTGTCAGTGTGTGTGTGTCAGTGTGTGTGTGTCAGTGTGTGTGTGTCAGTGTGTGTCAGTGTGTGTGTCAGTGTGTGGGGAGCGGTGGGTGTAGTGAATAACGCTACGCTGAGCTACGAACCCGACGAACCGGTCCTGGGCCTCCCCTAGGTGGACTCAGCCTCAAATGAGTACCTGGTGCCACGCGTAAACATCGCCAATCGGGAGACAAACGCGGCCCAGGCGTTGTTCTGGCCATCCACCCCCTCGTGTGCCGTGCTGGCCTTAATAGGTGCTCGCAAACAGCACTTGGACGGTATTGCGCGGTGTATAGTAGTGTAGTATGTACGTAAAGTACGTTTATTGAACGTCTTTCGCACCGTACGTAGCCAACCGCGCTAATCGGAGGTGCAAAAACAGTCTGTTACAGGCTACACGGATCGATCGTTATCTTGGTGTGCGTGCGTGCGATAGCAACGGAAGAGACGAAAACTTGTCCTGCGATAACCGCCGATTTATCAGAGGGCCCCATCGGCGGTTATCATCCGCCACGGCCCCCCCCCCCCCCCGCCTTAGCGTCCGGCACGGCGGTGCGGTACCGATCGGGGCAGCGGACGCGCGTGGTGTCTCCGTATCTCTGCGTCGTTAAAACGCTTATCTGCGCCGGGCCGACCGGTCGATGGCTCGCACGCCCGCTGGGCGTAGAGACGGCGGCGACGGTGGCGATGGAGAGAGAGAGAGAGAGAACCACGTCCCATCGGTGAACTTTGCTCTCCGGGCAGACGGTTGGGGGGCTGCGGGGGGAGCGGCCGAGGCGCGAACGCCTCTCGTAGCGCGCGACGTGGATCCGTCCCTTCGAAAGAATCTGACGACGTTCATCTCCGCGCGTCGAATGGCACGTGACGACTCATCCCACCTCCCCCCCCCGCCCTCATCGTTGGTTAAACCGGCTCGCTATACTTGACCGCCGCGCAATGTCATTAATTATAATCAACGTGATTATAACAATCAACGTGATTATAATTATTCGTATTTTTTTCTGATTTTTTTTTGCTGGAAGTGGGGTTGGGGGGTGGGGGGGGCGGTGGTGTGGGCATTGCAGGGGCTGCGCATTTCATCTCGCCACTTGTACTGCGATTGCGACAAAGTGAAAGCGGCGAAGCGTTTCGGTGAGCGTCGGAGGAGGTCTAGGAGGAGGAGAGTTGAGCGCGAGTGGATTTTGTTGGACCCTACCCCCCCCCCCCTAGAGAACAGGGGGGGGGGGGTAGGTGGCTGGATTGTCGCACGTTCAATGCTGAGTTGGGTGGTGGGTGAGGCGGCGGGGGGCAGGGGGGCGGTGGAGTGGGGGAGGGGGAGGGAGGCGATGCCCCCGTGATGGACTCGGCTAATTCCATTAAGGATCTGGGGCGTAGTCGTCCACGCAGGGACACGGACGCAGCACTGTGGGGTGCCCACGCAACACCCCCCACCCCCCACCACTCCCTTGTCGTGCTAAGTGAGCGCAGTTGAATTCGAACGGACGCACGCACGGAGGGATGAACGCACGAACGAACGCATGAATGAACGAATGCATAAACGAATGCACGAACGAATGCACGAACGAATTCACGAACGAACACACAAGCAAACGCACGAACGAACGAACGCATGAATGAACGAACACACAAGCAAACGCACGAACGTATCACGAACGAATGCACGGACGCGCGCAGCAGTGGCGGCTACGTAGTTGCTCCTGCGAGGACGAGACGGAGGTGGCGGTGGCAGTGGCGGGGGGGGGGGGGGTGGTCAAGGCGGAGTGCCAACCGGAGGCCAATTGTCTTGCGATGTCCTAGGAGTGGGGGCGGGGAGGGGGGCGAGGTGAGTCGTGGGGGGGCAAGTCACGGTGGTGGGGGAGGGGAGGTGAGGGTGGGCGGGGAGGGGTGGCGGTGCGAATATGAAAAGAATATCAGGAAACGAGACGACCACCGAGGGTGCAGGAAGGACAACCCGGGCGGGCACCGCTGCCTTCTTTTTAGTCCAAGCACGATGTGTTAAAAGTAGTTCACTTTATTTTTTATTTATTTCATTTACTTTTATTATTTTTATTTTATTTACTTCCCCCCCCCGCCTTTTTCCCCGCTTCCACTCGGGCCGCCGAGTGGAAGCGCACAAAATAAATATCCCCCCCCCCGCCTCCCCCCGTGTCGCCTTTTAACAGGCTGCGGAGGGCAAGTGCTGCCCGCGGGTAGCGCCGATGAAGGCCGGGGCGGCGCATGCCGGGGGTGGGTGGCCAGCACCTTGCCCGGCCGCCTTTGTCTCCCCGGTGGCGATGTTTTTACGCATCACACCGGGTGCTTTTTTGAGGCTCAGTTGGGCTAGGGGAGGCCCAGGACCGGTTCAGATAATCGTGACCGGTGTTGGTCGCTGTGTCGGGGATCGAACTCTGGTGGCCGTGTTTGTTGCGCAGCACGCTAACCGCTACACTACCGCTCCCAACACTCAAAAGACAAAGATCCCCCGCATAGCCTCAACAGACTGTTGGGGCAAGTGCTGTTAGCGAGCACCTATGAAGGCCGGCACGGCACACGAGGGGGTGGGTGACCAACACCACGCCCGGCCGCCTTTGTCTCCCCAGCTGTTATGTTCACACACCGCACCAGGTACTCATTTGAGGCTGAGTCGACATAGTGGAGGCTGAGCACCGGTGCAGATAATCGTCACCGGTGCTGGCCGCGAGCGAGAATCGAACCCGGGTCGCCTGGTTCCTGGCACAGCGCGCTAACCGCTACACTCCCGCTCCCCCATCACACCCGCACACACTCACATCCGCACACACACACAGTCACACACTCACATCCACACACACACACAGTCACACACACACACGGTCACACAGTCACACCCAGCGCGGGTCTCCACGACCCGTCAGCATCTTCTCCGATCTTGCCGTCCGCCAGGGCGTGGTTTTCCACGTCTCTGATTTGAGATCGCCAGCCGTTTCCTGCCTACGATTTGGCCACCGTTTTGCCCTGTTCCTTCCCCGTGGTTAGGAGGCAGGGACGGGAGGGGTGGTGGGGTGGGAGAGGAGGGAGGGGGGGGGTGCTGGAGGGGGGAGGGTTGTGGGTTCGGGTCAATTTTTTTTCACTTTTGCCCGCACAACTGCGATGAGCACGGGTGGGCCACGTGCGGTGCGAAAAGAAGTTCAGGGGAAAAACAACAAACAGGAGGCGGGTTTCTGCACGAATCTGGTTGTCCGCCTGATGAAGCTAGTCGTAATTTTCCGGCGAAACGCCGTACTCAAATTGCAAATCTTGTTGTCTCCAACGTAACCGGTGTGCTGTGACGAACTGGCGCGTTCTGTTTACGTGACGATTGGCTGTGCCGGGTGGTGGCGGGCTTTAACGACACACTCATATTTACGCGATCTAACCCAACAAAAGGCCTGTACTATGGTCAGCCCGTGTGTTTCTGGATGCTGCGTAGACGCTGCCCAGTGAGTTCGTGATGAGGCCCCGGCTACTGCAAGTTGTACGCGTTTGAACTGTCCCGAGTTCAATTCGTGGATGAATTTGACTGGCATCACCATTGCCATGCCGATGATCGTCACCACCACCATCAACACCACCATCATCATCATCAAATACATAATGCGCATTGTTATTAACGACACACTTAGATATATTTACGCGATCTAACCCAGCAAAAAACCACCTGTATGACGGGAGAAGTCCAACGCGCGTACGTTACATTCGGAGGAACGTTGCTCCCCCCTGCCCGGTTAACGCTGGCGGTAGCGCGGACAGCATTTGGACGCGTTCAGTACGAAGGGCCAAGTTCCCTCGATCCTTACCCCTTGCCCCCCCCCCCTCCTCCGCCGCCGTGGGTAGGCCGGCGAGCCCCGGATGTCCACGTCCCTCCCCTGCTCACTAAAGGGGGCGTTACGCGTGCCCTGGGCCTGCCGTGCACGTCGCGTTCCTCGCTGCCCGTGTCCGATGCTCACCGCCGTAATTCCGGGTTCTTGAAAAGGCGATAAAAATGCGCGAGTCGATGAAGCGACGGAGGGCGAAAAGGCGGAGGTCCCCGCGACGTCGTTTTGGAGCGAGAAAAACGGAGAGAAGGGATTTTTTTTTTTTTACAAAAAAAAAAATTACCGTGCCCTGGCACCGATCTTCGGTGCCACGAGCGACGGGTTCGGTCGCAGAGACGGACAGAGTCCAAATAAAATATTTCCCAGTTCGCGGGCGGAGACGCGACGGGCGGGGGGGCGGGCGTCGTTGTCGAACGGTCGACGATGATGAGTCGATAACAACAAAAAACAAAAATGCGTCAAATTATTTTTGGTTACATACCTGGCGCCTTGCTGCTTTTTGGCACCTAGCTTGTTGTTGTCCTTCCCCCGCACCTCCGATTAGCGCGGTTGGCAACGTACTGCGCGATAAAAAATGTCAACATAAAACTAACGTACACGGTTGACCATGTATGGCGCGAAAGAAGTTCAACGTACGTGCGTACAGGAGATTGATAACGATTATTCACGTCTCTCTTTCTCCCACCCCCCCTACCCTCCACGCACCTCTCTCTCTCTTCCTCAGCCTCATGCACAAGTCGGAGGGCTACGCTGATTGTGTCAAGGTGAGTCGCGGTGTTTTTTGTACGCGCGATGACAAAAAAGTGTGGCACTCGCCCGACATGAACCACCATCACCCAAACTGCAGATCATACTCGCAGCAGCGGCGGCGGCGGTGGCGGCGGCTTCTCGGCTAAGCCGTCGAACCAAAGACGGCGGCGGTCACCGCATCGCGCGGCGTCTTCAGATGCGCTTCTGCGGCCGTCTGGAACGCTCTTTCCTTCCCGAAATTAGGAAGCCCACTGGAGCTATGTACTTCTTTAGCCATCGTGTACAAATGAAAGCTCGTGGATTTTTTTTAGAACTGCTTTTTGTGTTTAGTTTGTGGTCCTTTCCGCGTACCGCCGATTAGCGCGGTTGGCTGTGTACGTTGCGAAAGACGTTAAACATCCGTAAATTTTGTTTTTTTTACCAGGTTTAGAAGTGACCTGGCCATAAATGATAGCTCAGCGAAGTGGCTTATCGCGTAGAAAATTATAGCAGCCAAATACTCTTGATGCAGGTGTCAAGGTCTGGATCGAACCCACGACCTCCTGTATACCAGGCGAGGTAGTTAACATCTGCTAGCCACCATCATGATGATGAGAGAGAGAGAAAGAGACGCGCAAACTCCAAATATACAGCAGGTGTCAGGGTCGGGATCATACCCACGACTTCCTGAATACCAGGCGAGGTAGTTAACATCTCCTAGCCACCGTGGCTGGGGGGGGGGGTCTTCATTTTGAGTACTACCACTGCCACCGCCACCACCACATCGCCACCACTGCCGCCACCGCCACCATCGCCACCACCGCCGCCACCACCGCCGCTACCACCAACCCCACAGAGGCAGCTGACGGTTGTCCCCATCTCCCGCGTCTCCCTTGTCGCGGAAGAAACTCCAGCGCGAGGAATTGTTCCGTGCGATTGCGTAATTAGCATGAGAAAGGGGGGGGGGGGCTGGCGCCGGAGTGGGGGGGGGGGGGGCGATTGGGCGAGGGGGTGGAGGGAGTGACAGTGGGGGTGAGGCGGGGGGGGTGAGGCGGGGGGGGTGAGGATGGGGGGTGAGGTTTAGACTCTGAGACAAGCGTGCGATTGTGGTCTGGGTTTCCGCGCTGCCACCGGCGATGCTTCTGCTGCTGTGCTGCTCGTCAGTTTGAACCAGTGCTGGGCCTCCCCTAGGTTGACTCAGCCTTAAACATTGACTACCTTGGCGTGGCGTGTAAAGACTGTTGGGGCAAGTGCTGTATAAATACAGGGCATGGCACACGAGAGGGCGGGTGGCCAGCACCACGCCCGGCCGCCTTTGTCTCCCCAGTGGCGATGTTTACCACACACCGCACCTGGAAATTCATTTGAGGCCGAGACGACCTAGGCAAGGCCCAGGACCGGTTCAGATAATCGTCACCGGTGTTGGCCGTGAGCGGGAATCGAACCCAGGTAGCCAGGTTCATAGCGCAGCGCGCTAACCGCTACACTATCGCTCCCCACACAGTCACACACACACACGGACACTCTCACACACACGGACACTCTCACACACACGGACACTCTCTCACACACGGACACTCTCACACACACAGTCACACACACACAGTCACACCCAGCGCGGGTCTCCACGACCCGTCAGCATCTTCTTCGTTCTTGCCGTCCGCTACACGACCGCTCCCCACAACAACACACACACAGAGACACACACCATCACACACAGACACACACCATCATACACACACCATCACACACACAGACACACACCATCACACACACACAGACACACACCATCACACACACACCATCATACACACCATCACACACACAGACACACCATCACACACACAGACACACACACACACCATCACACACACAGACACACACCATTACACACACACACCATCACACACAGACACACACACCATCACACACACACAGAGACACACACCATCACACACAGACACACACACCATCATACACACACCATTACACACACACAGAGACACACACCATCACACACACACACAGAGACACACACCATCACACACACAGAGACACACACCATCACACACACACAGACAGACACACACACCATCACACACACACCATCACACACAGAGACACACACCATCACACACACAGAGACACACACCATCACACACACACACAGAAACACCTCCCCCACCCAACAGCACGCTCTCACTGTCGGCCTGCCACTGAAAGGCCTCATTTGATCTCGGTGGGGTCGGTAAGGGGAGGGAAACGGTAGACGGCGCGGATTGAGACGTCCAGCCTTTGACTGTGGGGAGTTGGGGTGAGGGGGGGGAGTTTGGGGTGAGGGGGGGGGTTGGGGTGAGGGGGGAGTTGGGGTGAGGGGGGGGTTGGGGTGAGGGGGGAGTTGGGGTGAGGGGGGGGAGTTGGGGTGAGGGGGGAGGGTTCCACTCTCTTGCCCCCCCCCCCTTCTCTCTCTCTCTCACACAAAGCGTCGAGTAGATGACGACAACGCGGGCGCGGAATGCGCGGAATCGTGCGTTGGGTCGCGGCGCTGCGTTGGGATGCCACGCCGAGATGATGCCACGCAAAGCCGCCGCTGCTGTGGGGTGCCCCCCCCCCCCACCACTCCACCTCCATCACCACCCCCCCCCCCCGGGCGCACGGCTGATGCGTTCACGCGCTGCGTAGCCGGGGAGGAGCGGGGGGGTGGGGGCGGTGTAGGAGCTGCGCTCATTTTTTATTTAACACTAGCTTCACTACCCGGCTTCGCCCGGGACTTGGATCCTTGTCTTGTATGAACACACGGCCTACGCGGACGGTGGTGGGTGGGTGGGGTGGGATGCGTGACGTCAACAGGCACACTGCGTGACGCTGCCGCATGCGGGTGACATCACAGATGTGACATCACAGATGTGACGTCACCGCTCACTTGCCGTGCAAAATATACCTATTATTGCACCCCCCCCCCTCCCCGAAAATAACAAAAATCTATTTTTATACGTTTTGCATTGTGTACAGTCTGGAAGCTACCCACATGCCAAATTTCAAGTTTGTTGCATGTCGGGAAGTGTGCTCAACATTTCGAACAGACATACATATCCACAAATATATAGATTGTTGTTACTATCTCTGTCTCTCTGTGTGTCCGGGACACAAAAAGAAGCACCCGGGGTGATTTTTTTTTCTTTTGGGGTGGCCATCGTTTTGCGCGGTCGGGACTCCCAGAATGCACTGGCCGCACGCACTGTGCCCTGTTCTGAAACATAAGAAACGGTGTTAAGATGTTCCAACACCAAAGAGGAAACTTTGGGCGAAGGAATCAAGTTGCTGCATTAACCACGCACGGTACTTGCGGTGAACATGCAAACAAAAAACCCTCTGATAACAGAGGGCACTGTCGTTGAAACTGATTTGGCCTACACCAGAGACAGCCTTCTTCTTTATGGCCTTATCTCACCACCGGTGTCAGACCAGAGAACGCCAAAAGGCGAGCAGTACAAGGTCAATGCCACACGTGTCAGAGCATCTATAGCTCGGGGGTCGAGCAGCTACATCATGGGATGCCATTTGCTCGCAACAACAGCGATAGCAGCAATTCCCACAATGCAGTGTATATGAACGGGTTTATTTAGTTACAGCAGTCGTAACGGAGTACCTTTTTGTTATTTCTATTGCTATTATAATTCGTGACGGATTTTTTTTTCCTGTTACTCAATATCAACGCTTAGTGTAACTCTTCGAATGCCTACTTGCGAAACCGATCATCAGACAACGTTGTTGAATTTTAACTCTCATCAGACCCCCAACCCTCATCATCCACGTCCTCTCTCTCTCTCTCTCGCGCGCCTCTCTATGCGCCGTGAAGAAGTGGCATCGCCCAAAACGTCGCCGATTTTTATTTCCCGACAGGGTGCACGACCCGTGCGTTCCCTTCCTCGCGTTGCCCCCCCCCCCCCCCAACGCAACGCACCGCGGTACGGAGTCCGTGCGCGGGCCGTGGATTTGCCTCCCCGCGCTTCCTCGACGAACGCGAAGGGGCGCCGCGGGGGCCGCCCTCTCGGCCGCCCTCTCGACCGGCAACGACCGCACGTGGCAGCGGCGCCGTCCACGATTTGCTGCCCTCGAGGGTGGCCGTGAGAGTTGTGAGATTGTTGTTGTTTTTTTTATGGTGTGCGAAGGGGACTTTTCCATCATTTGGTGGCAGTGTGCCGAGGATCGCGATGCACACAGAGATAACATCGTTTTGTGTCCATGGTAAAATAACCCTCACGACGCTGCTGTGCTCGGCGGTGTTAACGCAACGCGGCGAAGATTAATTCCGTCGCATCGCACGACCATGGGAGACGGGAGATGGGGCCTGGGAGTCGGGGAGGGGGGGGATGGGTGTTGGGGGGGGGGGGGAGCCCATCTTTCATCCAGCAGTGGATATAACACGACCCGTGATGACGGTATTAGTAGTAATAGACGAGTTGGCGCTTAGTGAACCAGGGGCCCCGAGACCGGCGATATCTGGGCATGGGGAGGGGAAGAGTAAAAAAATATTAAAAAAAACTCAGCGCAGCCACTTGAAAGGAAATCTCTCGGCATAGGGGAAGCGTTGTGTGCACCGATACAGAGCCCAGAGCCCCCACCGCCGCCACCACGGCCCTCGTGTCGTCGGATACAGAACGCCGCTTTGTGTGTCACCGCGGAGGGCACGCAGGGGGGATGGGTGGTGGAGGGGGGCGGCAGAGCGGTCACCGACTCAACGCCGCACCGCCACCGGCGGCCGAACGATGGTCACGTTTGGAAGCGGAGGAAGAAGAAGACGATGATGATGACGAAGGAGATGAAGACGAAGAATATGAAGATGAAGACGAAGGAGACGAAGAAGATGAATACGAAGAAGACGATGGTGAAGGAGATGAAGACGATGACGATGATGACGATGACGATGATGACGAAGGAGATGAAGACGAAGGAGATGAAGACGAAGAAGATGAATACGAAGAAGATGAAGACGAAGAAGATGAAGAAGATGAAGACGAAGGAGATGACGACC